AATATATATATAAAAATATTTTTTCCTCTCCCCTAAACCCATGACTTGTTTTGTAACTAACCACAGTTTCTTCTGAGTGGTATTGCTGTATTTGTTCTTTCTTCTGTAAGAAAGATAAAGCATGAAGTAGCTGGTTTTTGTCCCGCTTTTCAAAGGCGCAGTGGATTATGCGGGGAAAGTAGATTTTGAGGTTAATACATGGTTAGCATGTGTTCTGAAGTTGTTAATTTATTTTTTTTTTAACAGCTACTAATATGTCCTCCAGTTACTCGATTCTTCTATGGACATAGGGAGTTTACCTATAAGCTGTTAATCCAGGGAGACTCTTCAGGGAGACTGTGTATTTGGAGCGTGCCTGATACTCTTGAACAACAAGATAGTGCAAAAGGTATACAGAATTAACAGTCCTGTTGCAAAGTCTTTTAATGGGCATCTCTTTTTTTTGTTATGGCTTTCGTTGCTGCATAAAGCACTGCTGCTTTTCCTGCAGATCCATGAAGTTGTTGTTTTGTGGGTTTTTTTTTTAATCGTTAGCTTCTTGTAAGAGTTATAGTAACTTTTTTTTTTTGTATTTGATCAAAATTTTTATTTATTCTGAATATTTTTCAGGTATTAAGTTTTAACTGCTTTATTCCAAATACTACCTATGGTCATTGCTGGCTGCCTGTGTAACTTCCTCTTGTAGCTTAAACCGTATACTTTTCCAGTTCTCACATATGTTCTTTCCATGTGTTGCTATAGCTTCGCTCATGTAGTCAGTAAGTTAATCTCTAATATGTACCTTTTACTTTGAACAAAGTGTTGTAACATGGTGTATTTAAACTTTGAGATCTTTTCAGAAAAGTATTCCTAATTTCCATTCTTGATTAATTTTTTTAAAATAATCTTCCTCCCACCTCACCCCTTCTCTCTCTGTCTCCCCTTTTTAAACAGGACTGCAGACAACAACTTCAGTATCCCTCCAGGAAGCTTTTGATAAACTTACTCCTCGCCCTGCTGGGATTATAGACCAGCTAAGCTTAATACCAAACATCAATGAGCCACTTAAAGTTACAGCCAGCGTATATATCCCAGCACATGGGCGTTTGGTTTGCGGCCGTGAGGATGGAAGCATTGTTATTGTGCCAGCAACACAAACTGCTATAGTTCAGCTTCTGCAAGGAGAGCATATGCTTAGGAGAGGTATGCAAATAAGCTTTTGAAAAGCACAGTTAGATTACAGTGTGTGCCTGTCGTGAGAGATACTGAAGTAAGAAACAGTTTCACAAAGTAAGCATTAAGTAATTTCACAGGTAGAACTCATATAACTATTTTCTTAACAATTTTGATGTTCTATTATGTAATGAGAAACATTAATAATAATAACAGTAATAAATTAGCTGTAGCCAGCTTGCGTCAATTTGGAGGGGTCCCTTCACTGGAAAGCCTTGGATATTGGGTTTTTGAGATGCAGTAGCAAAGATATGACAGGGAACGTCTCCTGTCTCTCTTCCAGCATCGTTCCGGGCACTATGTTCAGCTGGGCTATTGGTGTGCCTGTGAAGATCTTCTTGGGAAAATAACACATCTAAAAGGGAATTCCTCTTTGTGTATTGTGGAGTTGGTTGAGTGTTATGTATTGGCCTGCTGTTGTATATTTTGGTTCCAGATAATGTTAATTTAATGCTTTTGTCTAATCATAGTCGCAGAACAGATATTTGGGTTTTGATTTTTACAAATGCTGATAAATGAAAAAGACATGTAAATATTTTTGTTAGTATACCGGTGAGTTTGTCAGTTACAGACAAGGCTGTTGGTTGTACTGTTTCCTTTATATAACTGATTAACTTTATATAACTTTATACAAAAATGATATTTTTTTCCTAAATATGAAGTTGGATTGCCTCGAAGTTGATACATTATTCCACAAATAAGCACTGGTGGTTCTTGCTCTCACAAAAATACAGAAGTACCTGTGTATATTCTATGTAAGGTTTGCTGTGCTTGCTAGAAAGCATAATCACATAGAGGAAAAAAGTTGCACTATATTCTGCAAGTGTTGCGTGGAATACTTGCTTTAATTTACTGGGCCCATTTTGTCAAATTTGTCATCTAAAAAGACAGTTTTCTAAGCATCTTTTGCAATAGTTAAAAGGTTAGAATGAGAATGATTTAACTAATGTATTTGATCTTAGTGAACAGAAGACTCGCCATTCTTGCTCTGTGTTTACAAAAATTAAACTTAAATTTGGTGTCATTAACCTGTTCTGTGCAAGCACCAAGGGCATAACACTGTGTACTTGTGTGCCACTGTTGTGACCAGTGTAGAGTAAGATCGTGCAATTTTCCTGGTACTGGCCCTTTTGGCTATAACCTTGGATAAAGTCATGTTTGACAGGGAAGAGAATTTATTTTTTCACATCTTTGTGGCCTTTTTAAATTTTGTTTTTCTGGGATTTTTTGGGGGGGCAGGAGGCTGGTTTAAGACAGCTGAATTACTTTAAAGTGAGGTTGTGCAGCAAGACAAAAGGAATCAGTCAGTCTGTATCCAGTACAAAAAATTATGAACACTTTAAAAATAGACAAGGCTAATTCTGTAAGAACTTCTGTTAAAAATTGCAGTATATCTGTGGCGCTTTTTTTAATCAAGAACAGTCTTTGGTATTGTTAAATGTTCTATTGAATTACTTTTTTTTTTTCTTCTCTTCCCCACCCCCCTTTTTCTTTTCCCCCTTTTTTCTCCCCTTACCCAATTTCTCAGGTTGGCCACCTCACCGGACTCTCCGAGGCCATCGAAACAAAATTACTTGTTTACTGTATCCTCATCAGGTGTCTTCTCGTTATGATCAAAGGTATTTGATCTCAGGTGGTGTGGATTTCTCAGTCATCATATGGGATATATTTTCTGGAGAGATGAAACATATCTTCTGTGTACATGGTGGAGAAATTACACAGCTTCTAGTTCCACCAGAAAACTGTAGTGTAAGTTTTACATAATATGTTTGATAACCTGTCTCACACGTTCCATAAATGGTACAGCTCCTGAAATCCTTCTTGAAAATGTGAATGTAATATGAAATACTGAAGATTTAGCACTGACCCAATGTATAACTCTTGCAGACACTTAAAGAGTTTAACTGTTCTGTTAATCTTGGTTTTGTTCACGTCATGTTTTAGCTACATAACAGATTAAAAATAGTGGAAAAACTGGATATTAAAACCTCACTAGCTAAGAAAATGCTTGGCATTTTGTGATGTACAGCGTTAACAGTGGGAAAGGATTTCCACAACACGGAAGCAGTCTTTCCCCTGGAGGTGTTTGCGAATGTGATACACAAGCATTCCCCACCAGTTAGTTCTAAGTTTTAAAGGCACTTTTATCTTTAACTTGAATGAGTAAATAGAATTTAATGAACAAAATGACATTGATTTACTCAAACTGTGGTTTCTCTTTTTTTTTTTGCTGAACCAAACAGGTTCTAAATACCTGTTTGCTCTTCATGATGCACAGGAGATTGGATTCAAGAGAATTTCTGCAAGTGAAATACTGTTTCTAAACTCAGTGAGATTAGTCATGGACTTAGGTGCCTGGTTTTTGTTCATAAAATAGGTTGTTGATCACCATACTTGGTCCAGTGAAGAAGAGATTATTGAATAAAAACTCTCTGTGTTATGGTTAAGATTTTTCTTTTTTTTTTTTCTTTCATTAGGCGAGAGTCCAGCACTGTATTTGCTCTGTTGCCAGTGATCACTCAGTAGGTCTTCTGAGTCTGCGGGAGAAAAAATGCATCATGCTGGCGTCTCGTCACCTTTTCCCTATTCAAGTAATAAAATGGAGGCCTTCCGATGACTATCTGGTGGTAGGATGTTCAGATGGGTCTGTGTACGTCTGGCAAATGGATACTGGTAAGGTTAAGGCCAAAGACGTTGATTAAACAAATTTTTAAATATATATACACACACACATATATATATATATATATATATTTGGGTATAGTTCTGTATAAGTTGCATCTGAGACAAGAGTTAAATTTTTTTTTTGCACATTTATATTTGGAAATTTAGCACTCTACCTGTTCCCAAAATTTGTAGATTATTTAAGCTTCTGTTAAATACATCATTTAATATTTGGCATAACTCATTTGGTTTTGGAGAAGTATAGCTTTCTGTGGCTTTCACCCCCTTTAAATGTTTTCCTGGTTATCTTTAGAGAGACCAGTTAAAATGTTGGTTGCACATGCAGTGTCCTCTCCGTTTATTAGTGACTCTACTTTCTCAGCAATTTTCTTGAAAGCTTGGTGTAGAAGTGCAGCACCTTGAATCTACAATAGTTTCCTCATCTGTAGAGTGAAGAAAGTGTTTTTCTGGGGGTTTTGTATTGTTTGTTTTGTTGTGTGTTTGGGTGGTTTTGGTTTTTTTAAAAAGGGATTAATGCTTAGTTTAGAAGAAACTAAGAATGAGCCTTAACAGAATGGGCAACAAGGCATAAAATAAAAACATCTTTGTTGTACAAAATTTTGACGTATTTGAAAGGGAGTAAGTGAGGAAAAAATGCATCAAAATATACGTAGTATATAATTACCTTCTAACTCCTTAACTTAAGGAAAAAAATCACAAACTTGCAATAACACCTGAATATTATTTTCAGTTTATTGTGAAAACTAGATGAGGATTGTTTTTTACTGAAGCTCTAGGAAGCAAAGAGGAACCTGAGATCCATTGTAGAAAACTTAATCCACACAGGTAATTGGGTGAGAGAGGAAATTCAAAATGATTGCGAACAGCCTTCCACTAAAAATGCTGAGCAACTGCAGTCATCACTCTCTGGTCAGTACAGGATCACATCGTGGGTTTTTTTAAACTTGTCTTGATTTTTCATTAATGTGTTTTTTCCTTACACGCTTTAGCTTCATGGAAACTTAGGAAAATTCTATCCCTTTAGGAATATTAGTTCTAAAAGTAGCTATGTGAACACAACGGAAAGTTCTATGCATTGCATCCTGTGGTATAACTTATTCTTCACACATTGTTGTACTTGTGATATTTTGGACATTCTGAATTGTTTCTGCTTAAACTCACGCTTTTCAAAATATTTGCAGGTGCTCTGGACAGGTGTGTGATGGGAATAACGGCAGTGGAAATCCTGAATGCCTGTGATGAGGCCCTCCCAGCGGCTGTGGACTCCCTGAGCCATCCTGCTGTCAACCTGAAGCAGGCCATGACTAGGCGTAGTCTGGCTGCTCTGAAAAATGTGGCGCATCAGAAACTGCAGACTCTTGCCACTAACCTACTCGCTTCTGAAGCATCTGACAAGGTAAGTTGTGTTTCAGTTTGTCTGGTTTTAATGCAGTACCTGAAACACTTAATTCTGTAAATAATTGAATAAAATATGGGAAGTCTTCATCGTTGTAACTGAAAGGTTCTTATCCAAAGCGCTCTGAAATTTTAATAAAGACCTAAACTAGCTTTACCTGGTCTTGGGTCAGTCCTAGGAGTTCGCTTTCCTTGAACAAAAAGTATCAGCCTTCTTCATCTCATTGTGAAGTTTACAGTGCAGATGGTGTTATCTAGAGTTACATTTTAAAACCACATTTCATTTATGATTTTTCTATTCTGTACTTTCAGTGGTAGTGGTTTTGTTTGCTGGACTCTAATGCTTTTAAACTTCCTCTTCGCTGTCTGTAACTCTGTACTGCTTTTACCGTCTCTTTCTCTAGGTTCAGTAAGAACAGAGGTTACGCACCAAATAAATTCCTGTCTTTCTAGATAGCTAGTGATATATTTGTAGTATCACTCAACATGATCCCTTCCATATCTCTCTGGAGGTTGTTCCTGAATTGATGTTACTGTTCATGATGCTACCTCCCACTTCAGTGTGCACTCTACTGCCTTTTCTTCCCCCCAGGTTGAGTTTATTTAGAATCTGGATTTAGCATCATTTCATAGAATCTGGAATATTTGCTCAATTGTATACATTCTGTTAATCTGTAATATTGATAGGTAGACAGGGAACTGGCCTGTGATCCATATCTATCAGAAGCAAGTCTTGCCCTTTTTGTTTTGTGCTAGCTTTGAGGAATGGAATCGACATTGATCTGTTTTTATTTTCTTCCCCCCCATATTGGGCATACTTTATACATTCCTGCAAATATTGCTGAATGTGGAGCCAGAGCTTGATTTTATTTTATTTTGGTAATTGTTGCTATGTGACACTTCAGAAAAAGTATTACTGAAATGTATACACAAATAGATATAAATGGAACCAAAGTAACTTAAATGCTGAAAATTAATTACGATTTGAGAAAGATTTTAAGGGTTTAATGCTAGAAGGTATTAATGAGCTTCGTGGATTCCTGAATATTTCAATGCTTAATGTTTAAGGACTTTTTAAATTCTGGTTTATGATTTAAGTGATGAATCCAAACGGAACTGTCTGTAGTACCTTGTTAAAAGCATTAACTGTTCCCAAGTGCTGTACGTCTGCATATAGAGAGAGCGCGTGAGCCACAGCATGTTTACGTGTGTTCATTTAGACACACAACTTTACAATGTATATGGATGTTACCGAGTACGACAACAGGCTCCTTACCAATCTGAGCAAGAAGTGAATGCTCGTATTCAGAACTCTGGTCAGCAGACCTTTCTGATAATGCCATAATGGTCAGAGCTGGTCACGTGTTACAGCAACAGCTGGACAGTGAGCCTGCACATTAGTCTCTGGAGTCAGAGGATGAACTTTCTCCATCCTGGTTATTATTACACAAGCTGAAAGCACCTTAAATATTTTGAGATGTGGGGAAGTTCCTTTTGTAACAACTGGTAATCGGCTCTTTTTCTGAATTGATATCTCATGATAAGAAATGAGATTGGATTTCAAATTATATAAAAAGTAGTGAAGCTAGTACAGTGTAAAAAATTTTAAGGAACTTCAAGATGGAGGATAGAATGGTACAAGAGTTAGTTCTGAATATCCTGTTAATTTTCATGTGCCTGCTTATTATTCAGTCCTATGGATTTGGACTGACCATTTTGAATCCTAGCAAGTGGCTAACAGCATCCTATTGCAGACATGGTAGAGATGGAACAAAAAAGCGAACAGTGACTTTTAGAAATAGGCTTAACTATCGGTGGTAGTTTAGCTGGTGGGCTCAATAACACATCAGCATGGATCGTCAGAGGAGAGCTTGAAGGGCAGCTTTCTCTTGGGCTGTGCATCGTGCGTTTTTGTTTTGGCCAAATACAGGCAAGAGGTAAGTCCTGACCTTGCAAGGGTTTTGTGAACTTTGTCACAGAAAGAATATGACCCCGACTTTTAAATTTTTATCTTTCTGTTAACGATTAATAGAAGGAAGTGCAAAATTATCTTGAAGGAAGCTGGGAAAAATATCCTTCGAGTGGCGTATTAGAGAAGTATGTAGGAGGCTTTCCTTGCCCTGAGCAGCTTGCTCTGGTGGGCCCTGCGTGGGGCAGGGGGTCGGGTTGGAGGGTGGCCAGCCTCGGCCATTAGTCCGAACAGAAGGAGCTTGTATTTTTGCTTTTGTTTTCCTTTTCGTCCGGGCAGAGGCTGCCGTTCTGGCCGTGGGGCAGTGACCGGCAGAGAGCAGCAGAACCCCGCTCCCAGCCGCCCTGGCTCTTGCCATCGCCGGGGTCCCTTCCCCTCCCTCGCCTCCAGTCTCCTGGGAAGAGAGATGGCCCTTGGCCAGAGCGTTCCTTGGACACCCACCAGCACGGGTGTGTGCTCGGCCTTGGGCGCTGCTGGCCCTGCTGCCTCCAGCACGGCTCTTCGCCCCCCGCCTGGGAACGCTGCCTTCGTACCTGCTGCCCAAAATGTGCAGGGGCCTCATCTCTGGTGGAGGTGTTCCTACCTACAAAGGCGTGATACAGAGCACGGCAAAAGGTGTCCTGTACCGGAGGTCGATGATGATTAGTAGCTAAAATATTTTGGGTTTATTGTTGCTTTTAATTTTGCCGTTGAGACCATTACCAGAGACCATTTAATAAAAAGTTACCTACGTTACATTGTGAGAAAATAACTAGATTTTCTAAAATAAGAAATATGTGAATAAATCAGTGCATTGTAGCACATAATTTGCAGCTATTATTTATTGACATTTAATGATTTCTGTTCTGGTTTCAATTATCCATTATTTGCTTCTCACAGCAAATTTATATTTATTATCGTTTATTGATTCTCCGAGCTGACTGCAGGGAAAGGAGCAGATTTTGGCTATTTGCTCTAGCGCTGATTGCGTTAGGCCCTGGCTGTTTGTCTGGCACGGTGAGCTAGCCCATGCTGCAGCTCCTCCGAGAAATGTAAGAATACGGAGTGAGGAGGATGGTCTCTCTTTAATTTTTTCTTTCCTAATCCCTGTGACCAAATGCGAATTTTCCTTCTGGTAGTGCCTTAACTTCGTTACAGAAGTGAAATGAATTTTAATTTGAGGAAAGACAGAAAGTAAAAATTACTTGATTCTAGTGGAATAGCAGGTGGTATTGAGGATTTTGCCAGGTCTGCGTTTCATTGTTGGAGAGTCTTTTGGTATGTTTTGAGTATTGCTCTGTGTGTCTGTGCTTTTGATATCTAGTTGTTTGTTTGTTACAAAATGAGTGCATTGGAATAATGTAAAATATTTATGCATATTTGTTGAGAATCATGCTCAAAGTGAGCAAGAACTAGTGAGTGCAGCCAGCAAACCAATAATTGTGCTTGCTCTTCTCCGCTTCAACACCATACAATAAAATATACCTGAGTTTTCATTCCAGCTAAGTGAAATATTAGCAGCCTGAAATTATAAGTCTGCAAATTAAAGAAAGTATTAGTGTGGTAGAAAAATGAAGATTACAATATCAAATAAGACTAACATAATGGATTGCTTTAGATAAATATGCTTTGTGCATATTAACTTTAGACGGGAGTAAAGGAGCAGTTTCTTACTCTGTTTTTTCCCTGGGGCTCTGGCTGTGAAACAGTCGAGGGGAGAGGTTATTCTTGACTTGCTCTGAAGTCACAGTCAGAAATGGATCGGGAGGAAGCTGTGGCTGGATCATCAGCTGCTCTTGATGGCAGTCAGGGTACGGGAGCCTCTTTTTGGACCCATCAGTTTCCAAACATAAAGCTGATGTAAAACTTTGGAGAGGTTTGTTTTTCCTCTGGAAATTTTTTTACTGTAAAAAGCAATCTCACAGTCTTCAGGGATGTACAGTAACTAATAGGGACAGAAGAAAGCAGAGTGCTTTACGAGATACAAACCCATATGAATGAGAACCTTGAGAATTAAAATAATATGCTTATTTCAAAGCCAGGTTCATACACTGGAACAATAATTAAACGTGATGCGATGGATAGTATATACTTTCATTCCAACAGCATTTTGGGGATCTTTACAGCTATAATGGAAAAGGAATATATAAAAACTACTTCAGTTTTCAAACAAGTGCTATGAAATTTGTACAAAAGCAGCCAGGTAGTTGTAGGACTGAAAATGCTTACTGGCTTGAAAAAAGGCTTTGGGAGAAAATAAATGGTACATATGCATGTCCCATTTTCTAAGTAGAATATGCATTTGTTTCTGTGATTCAGAGTGATAAATACATTTGTTACGTGTTTGGAAGTAGGATGAGAAGGGTTGAAAAATGCAAGATAATTGGGTGTTGGTAGAAATAATGTAGTTTTTCAGCTTGGCAGATTTTCAGTGGTGACCACTCCTATGAGCCAGGGTACGTAAGGCTTTGTAAGATGTGCACGTTGCTTCATGTCAGTGAACAAAGGAAGCACTGTATCGGGAGAGTAAAAACCTATCACAAATTAGCGTATATATACAGAATGTTCACATTTTTGCATGATATATGGAGTGTATATTAGTTACTTGTGTAGTCTGTATATACTTGTAGTGTATGTGTGTAGATATATATGCATACCTATTTATAAATATATATACAGTGTATATATAAAAATTGTAAGCCTTGTTAATTTCAAAATCACTATCCTGCTGTAAAGCGTGCTTGGGGGGTTTAAAAAAAGACCACAGAGAATGGAAATTTTAGAGACTATCAAACTCAAAGAGTTTATATTAGTGTTAAGGCTGTTGAGTTGTAGATGGGAAAAGACGCAGAAGCCTTGACTGTATTGCTTTTATTGGTGATATATTAAGAACTTTTGGGTTAATTCTACTTTGAGTAAAGGTTGGTGTTTTCTGAACAAACCATTAGCCTGTATCAGTTGTGGAAAAAATACCATTTCTCCTGCAGCCTTTCTTAAACTTGTGTAGCGTAATGGCTTTTGTATGCTGCCTTAGACTTAGCTGCCACTTTGAGCACAGGGTTTAACTTTGGCAGCGACCAATGCAAGCATCAGGAACGCTGCTTCATCGCTGAGCCTAGTAACCGCTGCTCCTCTGTGTTTCCTTGCTCTGACTTTGTAATTCTGTGCATTAAATATGAATATTCAGTCTCATGTCTTTCAGACTGTTAATTAAATTGTAAAAGCAGAGAATTAATATTTTACTTAGATTTGAACAAGGTTTATTTCTGTTAAGAGATTCTCTTTTTCACTTTTTTGAGGAAACTAAGTACTTGAGCAGAATTTGGTGCTGGTTATGGAGAAAATAAAGTTCTCAATACTTTAAAACTTATGTTGATGTTCTTTTGTCCAGTTTCCTTTTCTGACTTTTTTCAGTTTTTATCTCATGGCATTGTAACTTTTTTTTTCCCTCTCCTCCCCTTGAGAGGAAGGGAAGGAGGAAGAAGATGAACTTACATGGTGGAGTGAACAACAAGTGACACACCAATTGCATATCTGGGCAAATTTATTAGTTGCTTATTTTCCAGTGGCATAAACTGATACTATGCTTCAGTATCCAAATCTGAAATATTTAATGTGTTTTAAGTTTAATAACAAAATGTTGAAATTGTATTGTTCCTTGGAGTTTAACTATTACCTTTTAGAATTCATGAGGAAGAAATGTGAACTTCTGTCTCATCTAGAGAGCTCTATTTGTCTGATGAACTTCTGTAAGTGAAATTTCTGTATTTTAGCTGTGAAACACTTGATCACAAGTCAGACATTCCTGACATCTTGAAAAGTGCTGTAAAATTCTTCACTGATATTTTCATAATGTTTATCACAACATGTTTTATACCCATGCGAGTTTTCAAACTTTGATAATCCACAGCTTCCTTAATTTGTGAATTAACTTTGTGAAAAGTGTTAAGAAAGTAAGCTCATTGAAAATTCAAAATATTTTCTTTTTTTCAGGGGAATTTACCTAAATATTCCCATAACTCTCTGATGGTTCAAGCTATAAAGACTAACTTAACAGATCCAGATATACATGTGCTCTTCTTTGATGTTGAAGCCCTGATTATTCAGCTACTGACTGAGGAGGCCTCCAGACCCAACGCTGCACTCATTTCTCCAGAGAATTTACAGAAAGCCTCTGGCGGGTCTGACAAAGGAGGCTCCTTTCTGACTAGTAAACGAGCAGCCGTCCTCTTCCAGCAGGTCAAGGAAACAATCAAAGAGAATATAAAAGAGCATCTTCTTGATGATGAAGATGAGGATGAAGAATCGATAAGGCAGAGAAGAGAAGACGGTGACCCAGAATATCGCTCTAGCAAATCTAAACCATTAACTTTATTGGAATATAATCTGACCATGGATACAGCAAAGCTTTTTATGTCCTGTCTTCATGCCTGGGGCCTGAATTCTGTTCTAGATGAGCTTTGCCTTGATCGTCTTGGGATGCTTAAGCCACACTGTTCAGTGTCCTTTGGCCTTCTGTCTAGAGGAGGCCACATGTCTCTGATGCTTCCTGGCTATAATCAGCCTGTAGGCAAACCGTCATATGATACCGTGGAGTTAGGAAGGAAAATGTCCGTTACAGAAGGACTCGGAAAGGGGACGTATGGTGTATCACGTGCAGTCACCACTCAACATCTCCTGTCTGTTATCTCCCTGGCCAACACACTGATGAGTATGACCAATGCAACTTTTATCGGAGACCACATGAAGAAAGGTCCGACCAGGTATGGCAAATATTCACTTGAACTTGTGGTAACTTTCTTTCAGAGTTTCTATTTTAATATAGCATTTTAATTTGTTTAATTTTACTCTGGGGTTTGATGTATTAAATGGCTATGAAAACCTCTGGTACCTAGATGGAACTGAGTGTATTTCTTCTTTCTTGAACGTAGTATTTTTTTTATGCCAAGTTAACTATATTGCTTTGACTGGAGTGAGGTAACTTGCAACGTTAGTAGAACATGGAGTTGTATTAACATATGTGCCGGTAAGTCTGAGAGGCCATTTTTGTTCTCCTTTTTAGTGTTTTTTATTTTTAAGAGTTTTTATAAAGAGTAGGTAAAATTCTAAATAAAAAGAGGTGAGCTTTTTATCACCAAAAAATAAACTTGAAATTGTAAATAAGATTTATTTTTTTTTTCTCCTGTCAAACTGACTGGTTTTTATAGGGTTGCTTTTCAAAGTTTGTTTAGTCACAGTATCTTTAGCAAATAATCTCTCTTCCCCGCCACCCCTTCCCCTATCCTCCTTCTCTCCCTTCATGTGTATTTTGTGTTTAGGCCCCCTAGGCCAGGCACTCCTGAGATGTCAAAAGTGAAGGCACCCCCTTCAATTTCAAGTCATGCAGCCCAAGGACAGATTAAGCAAGGTAAAAACCACTTACTTTGGAACAATTTGATATGTCATTTCAACTCTTGACACTGAAGTTACCACCTTACTATCAAGTGATAAAAATATTGCTAGCTTCTACATGGGAGGAAAAAGTAGTATATTCTAGATAAAAATTTTAATGAAGACTGTTTTAAGAATCCATATAAGATGCTGATACTGTCATGAAGTCATTCCCTGACAAGGAATTGTTGCATATTTTAAGTGCTCCCAAGCATTCTGGTGTTGAGGTGATAGTAAGAGGTTTAAAGTCTGTAACCAAGGGCTATACAGACTAATACAGAAATGTTTGTGTGTGTTATAAACTAAACAATATAGGTAAACACCTAAGTAGTATGTATACATTTCCTCTCCTTTTTATGAAGGAGGAAGAAATTATTTCATTTTAACACTACTTCTACCACTGCTGCTATTTTCATCACTTGCGATTATGAAAGATGGCAGTGGATGATACTGAAGGATCCTTTAGTAGTCTGCATTGTATCTTTCTTTTTGTGAGCATAATGGTTAAGTGCAGGAAGTAGAACAACGTGTAATGTAAAAGAAGGACGTACACAAGATTAGACGTGAATTTTCTACTGGAGCAGAGTGGGGACTAGAGCTTCCTAAAGCTCTTCCTAGAGCATGTCCAGAGAAGGGCAATGAATGTGGTGAAGGGTCTGGAGCACAAGTCTGATGGGGAGCGGCTGAGGGAGCTGGGGGTGTTTAGCTTGGAGAAGAGGAGGCTGTGGGGAGACCTGATCGCTCTCTACAACGACCTGAAAGGAGGGTGTAGCCAAGTGGGGGTCGGTCTCTTCTCCCAAGTAACAAGTGATAGGGCAAGAGGAAATGGCCTGAAGTTGCTCCAGGGGAGGTTTAGATTGGGTATTAGGAAGAATTTCTTCACCCAAAGGGTTGTCAGGCGCTGGAACAGGCTGCCCAGGGAAGTGGTGGGGTCACCATCCCTGGAGGGATTTGAGAGAGGTGTAGGTGTGGTGCTTAGGGACATGGTTTAGTGGTGGGCTTGGCCATGCTAGGTTTATGGTTGGACTTGGTGATCTTAAAGGTCCTTTCTAACCTAAATGATTCTGTGATTATATTCCTTGGGGCAGTGGGAGCACGCAGGAACAGTCCTGCTGGGACTGGAGAGAGAGAGGAGGAAGAGGTGCCTTCCTGCTCGCTCTTTAAATTAGAGCTGCTGTCTGATGGGGCAAGTGAGCTACTCCTCTTAATGCCAAAAATAAAGTGAGGGTACACCACCATGACGTGGCCAATTCTGACTTGAGCTCAAAACTGAGGAGCAAGGGAGGTGTTGGGCAGCGTGTGGGGCGACTTGTGGGGAGGCAGCTGGGGTGGGCTGGCGGGGGGCGAGGGCAGCACAGGTCAGTGGAGGGTGCCTCAGGGCCAGCATTTGCCCCTGGGGATAACAAACCCTGCGTGGGACCAGCTGAAGGTTGTTTAGGGCTTGAGGGGAACGTGTGTCTGTAGCCTTCGCCCTACGTGTTTTGCTGTGTGATAAAGAGGAAGGGTATGCACATCATTGCTCTTCTTACAGTTCTTCGGGATTTTTGTGGATGTCAGTCTAGCTGCATCCATATAGTGTAGGGCAGAAGAAGAAAGGTTTTTCTGTTTTTTCCATAATGCGTTTGGTTATTTTTTTTCTTTTTAACTAATCTGTAAAGCAGATATCCTTCAGGACTTATTTAAAATTTCCTTTGAAAATGGCAATTATCTTTTATTTTTAACTTCTGCCTGTTAACTGTTAAAACTCTTCAAGCTACATGAATACAGAGAAACTTGCACTATGTAAAACAATTGCATTTTGCAGAATTCAAATACTTTGTCGTTGTGGTCTTTACCACAGGGTACAGTCTTTAAAGGCTTACATTAAAGCTACACATACATCTTTTAAAATATCTTTAAACTGTGGAACTGCTCTTGTATTAGAGAGCTAGTAACAGGTAACTTACACATCAACTGTGTGATTTTCTTCACTCGCATGCAAAGAAGGGGGATGTTTATATCTGAGGAGGAAACTTGCCCATCAGCAACATTTGTGTGTGTGTATTCTTTTCCTAAATATAAATATTATTTTACTGTGGTCTTTGGAAAGGGAAAAATCAGTTTCAGGAGCGGTATGTGTCAAGCTTTTTTCATGATCAAGGGTGCTACAGAAATAGTGAAGTAGCAGTCAATAACAAAAATCAGAAATAAATAAATAAATAAAACAAAAACAAACAAAAAAACCCACCCAAAACCAAACAGGACTCTTGTCTCAACTTGTGGGGCTTTTTTGGTTTGGTTTTTGGGGAGGTTATTTGTTTTGAGTTTTGTTTTGGTTTTGGGTTTTTTTTACAACCATTTACTTTTCCTCTTTGAAAGATAATTATTTGAAAGGTCAGGATTTCTCAGAGATGGTGTCTATATGGCAAATTCAATGCGAGAAAAAAACCATATTCCTCACAGAGAGGGTCTATGTCTGTGTTTTGGTTTTGAAGATACAGTTTCATTATGATTTTTCTTTCCTGAATGACAACTATGTAATTTTTCTTTGAAACAGCTTTGCTAATTTTGGGGACAGGCATACTTTGGTTACCCAGTGGAAATATTTATAACTTTATGAGAAACAAATGATAAAAATGAAATTCTGTGTGCTGTCAAAAATATGGACAAATATTCCTGTTCCTAAATGGTCGTGTTTTTCTGTGTCTAGTAGCATGTCTAGCTTGCTCTTGGGGGAACGTGGGATTGTTTTGAAGTTGTGCTCTTAGATTGCACGTTCCCTTGGTGTCTTACCTTTACATCCCATTGTGCACTACTTGCAGTATCTGGCTACTGATTAATTTCTAGTGCTATTATTCTTAAAGATCAGTTAGAGATACAATTAATGCATTTTATGACATGCTTGATCTCCATCAATTTGACCTGTATTTGTCCTGAGAGGAGCACAGCTCTGTGCTGCTGGGCCAGCTGCTTCCATTACAGTGATGGTTGTAATTACTGACATTGGAAGAGCCCGAATAACTACAACAAAACGAGGCAAAAAAGAAACTTCAGAGTAAGACTGTAGTTTCAGTAGGGATTGGGTTTGTGTTTTTGCAAACAATCTTTTTCATAAAATAAATAGCTTTTATTACACATCTACTGAAACTAGGTTTTGCTGTTATGAAGTGATTTATGTTAGTCATCCTGTCACTGTACACGTGCCATGGTGGTGCATTTGTGCGGAAGGTATGGAAAAAGGAGTTCTGATGCAGATGTCCCACAGTGACAAAAGAAGTTCACTGCATGAAAAGCAAACAGACCATTCAGAAGACAATGCCAAATCGGTTCAGGAGCTTGAACCCATTGTTATTCTGCAACGGAATAAAAGAGGGGGATTAATTTGAAGATGCTTGTGCATGACATATGGTAATTTCTCTATAGGAAGGAAGTGTCAGACAGTGACCTCTAAATCTCCACATTGACCTCGGGTTGTAGCGTGTGTATGCCATAAGGTCTGCGCATCTTTTCATGTGATAATATTAAGTCATGAAGCATTAGTGGTAGTATAATGTTTAGAACTGCCTTTAAACTACATTTGCACCAAGAAATGATAAGGTTGACAAAATAAATGTCACGGATGCTGTTTTGCATAACATACTTGAACTGTGCTCTTCTGTAGTTGCTTGCCTGTGGTCTTACGCTGTACCATTTGTATGCTTTTGCTTTAGATTTTTAGTCCTTTCTTTGGTATAGGCTTAAAATTGTTTGAATGGAGACACATATTTTAAATGAACCTATATTAAAACTAACCATCAGTAATACATTCTGTGCCATTTTAGAGTGACAGATGGGACAGCCCAGGTTTAAAAGGGGTTATTTCTAGGGGGTTTTAATGAGTAGTGCAAATTCCAAATCTTTCTAAATATGGGAGAAACACAAGAAGAAGCAGCGAAACTCCTGTTTTTAGAATTCCTAGTCAACTGTGCAGTCAAACCAAATCTTGCGATCTAAAGACACATTTGTACTCGCTTTATTTACAAGTACTTTTGTGTTTTCAAAACATGCAAGTTTCTGTTAGTGTATCTATATTTCTCTGCAGTTGCATGTCTTCCTCTCACTTGCATTGCACTTCTTGTAAAACCTAGAAGTTTTTTTGAGTTTAATATTATCAGTTTCCTCCAGTTTTGTTTTTCATTCTTCAGTGATACTAATCTGTTTTTCAGAAGCTGCTATCCTCACTTTCCTTTTTTTTCTCTTTATTTCTTCTTCTTTCCTCTGCAAGTTGCTCCTGCTGTTTCTTCTAGCACTGAAGCTGGTCACTCTGGCTCTGACACTGCTCCTACTTTACATACCTGTTTCTTAGTCAATGAAGGTATTCTTTCCTCACTTTTCTATCTATTTGTCTTTTACTTTCAACTAATATCCCTTATCATTGTTACGACATGACTTTGATTTGATCTACATAGGAATTTTTCTTTGAAAAAAAGAGAGGCAATGAGGTTTTTTTGTATACCTTGCCATTAATGCTGGTAGAGGGTGAGCAGATTCAGTTTGCGTGTCTTGGATCATCTGTAAATTCAGTTCTCTGGTGTATCAAAGATGATATTTCAGATCTTGTTTGGGTTTGCTGTTGGCTTTTGACAAAATATCTCAGCCCTTTTTAAAGTAGGGAAAATACACGTGCCTTTACCCCCTCGGTGGTGTACGGAGGAGGGGAGCCACGACACACGTGATGTATTGCCCGTGTGGTGTGTTGCACGCAGGTGCCACATCCCATCCCTCCGCTGCGGGGGCGAGTGCCGCTTTGGGGTGCGCAGGTTCAGCCCCATCTAGAGCCTTGGGAAGGCTGCTGGGCTGAGCTGCGGGCACGTCTTCCCTCCTGTCTTGAGTGAGCACCAACCCGCTGTAGCCCACGTCCCAAATTGAAAGGCTGTGGGTTTAATGCTCCTTTTAAAATGAAACAAACAAAATCTGTTTCCTGTCACTTAAATATTACTTTTGGTGTTTGTGAAAACTTAGGGTTTATTTAAACTACTCCAGTTTTGTGTTGGGGATGATTTTTTTTTTTCTAATAAATATTTATCAACATTATGAAGAATGCCTTTCTGCCAGAAAGATTGGCACAAAAAGCAAACGGAACAAAAACCCCTTGTATCCCTGTAGGCAAGTTGCTTTAAATAGGAATTTTTATGCCCATATTACTAAGCTATACACTCCTGCTTTCATGCATCTCAAGTAGAAACAGCGCTCTCTTAAATTGGTAATTCCTCTTTTTAATCCATTTCTCTTTGAGGAAAATTGACATAATGATTTCTTTTCTTGTAGCACCATGAAGAGCTTTATTAGTTAAAATATTTAGATTTTTATGCTCGGTATTGCTGACAACTTAAAAATATAGATCTATATGCTCACCTGGATTATTTCTTGAGTTTCCCAAGTCAATGTGGAACATAATACTAAAAGAATTCTTTTGTGCAGAGTACTTTACAAGCATTTTTACAAGCCACGTTGTTTGAGCTTGATATGCTTATCTTTACTGGTTTTAGCTACACAATATTGCAGGCTTGTAGTAAGAAGGCACCTGAAGTCAGATTTAGATGGAAAGATAAGGATAATAGACAAACATGCGCTTGTACATATTTGCATACCTTTTAAAATGGGACAGAAAATTCTATGTAATCTTTCTAGTGGTAATTCATATGTTAGGTTTTCTGTAATTGAATTATATCACACTTGCATGTAGGTCATTAAATACCGTTATAATTAATGGCAATTATGGTTCGAACAGGGCATCTAAATCTTGAACTCAGAACCATGGCTTACGCTTTTGAAAAAAATTGACCATAATACTTTTAGAGACTTTTTTGTATTTTTTAATGTATATTGAATATATTCTTAAGGGCACAAGTTTAAAATCCAAGCGTGTGACTAGATATACTGAAGTCTTTTTGAGAGGGGCTGGGGAGGAAGAGGGATGTTTGTGTTTAATCAGGACTGATCTGAGGCAGTCACCTGCTGATGTCTTATATGACCCTTGCACATGTTTGAGGCCTGAGCAGGTAGTTCAGGAGGCATGACTTCTGCCTGGAAGAGCTCGTTCCTGCCTGATATAGAAAGCACTTGCACTGTACAGCCTGCCCTGAGGTCAGCTGGAATCAGTAAAGATGGGGTGCAGCCCGTGATGGGGTGAGCTCCAGGTTCCCATGGCAGAAGAAACAATTCTGTTGTTCTGCTGCAAAATTGGTTCTTTTTTTTTTTTTTCCCTCTCCCTCTTCTCCCACCTTCTCCTGAAGACCTCCTACATACCAGGCTAGTGACCAATGTAAATTTACTTGATGGCATTTTGAATTCAAAATTGTGTCAGTGTTTATTATGTTTATCTTCCTGTCGTGATGTGTTTTAACAGGGTGGAGCCAACTCGCTGCTATGCACTGTGTAATGCTCCCTGACCTCTTGGGGCTGGATAAATTCAGACCTCCTCTTCTGGAGATGCTGGCTCGCAGGTGGCAGGATCGATGCTTGGAGGTGATTTCAGTAGTAATTTTGTACTGCTAGGTTTTTGGGGTTTTATATTGTCTTTTACTGATCACATTTTCCCTTAATATAAAAAAAATGCATAATCCTTTTCTGACACAAATTCCTGCAGTTTTTATTTCCGATTCAGTAAGTTAATGTTCCAGTTCACCTGTCAGAATGTTGAAAAAGTGATTGTGTCTCAATATATGTAAATGTTTTTTGTTTTTTATACCTTCTGGATTCTGTATGTATCTTTTAAAAGAAATTATTGGATTAAAAGCTTTCATGATTTCATTAAGAATCTTATTAGGATTAAAAAAACTACCCTATATTTTTCAAGAGACTGCTGAGTTGCTTTATTTCTTGGAGCGTGTATACAGTGGCCAGTAAATGGTTTGTCACCCAACTGTTTGATAAATGACTAGTGGGCCTTAACACTACACCTGTGCTGTTGTGGCAAAAAATTTGCTGACTGTGCAGCTTTCCAGGTAGGGAAGGAGTGACAGAGCTGGGTTGTAGGCCGTAGGTCCTCAGTGGTCCTGTAACTTAATTGGGAATGAATATGGTTTCTTTGCTACCCGATTGCCTGTTCTTTTGCTAGATAGGATATACTGCGAGATGGTTTCCCAAGAGGGTAATTACTTTGAAGGTCATTAAAATTTGTAAGCAACAGAAGTCCAGTTACTGGATATCCTTAGGTGTCAGGGTAAAGTATTTATATTCTGTTTGTCCACAATTTTTTATTTTACCTTGATCAAATCTCTTGTGCGTTAAATCTTTTAGACCAAAAATAGTGTGTGTATTTATGAACTCTTTAGCTGGAAAAAGTGATATTAACAGGGGACAAATAGTACAAGATGGTATTTTGTATTTGTTGGTGTAAAAGCTCTTTTTTGTTTTTGTTAAACTTTGAGAAACCTTTTTATGTATGTTTTCCTCTGCTTTCATTGTTCAGTCTTTTATAATATGTAGTAAATGAGTAAATCTCATGGGGAAAAATATTTTTTAAGCGATTTGCTTTTGTATTGCAACATTCACGACATTTAGAAAACTTTATTCATTGCACATTTGGAATTTTAGACCCAACTTTGGCAATGCTATAGAGAAGAGTGATCACAAATTGGTTCTGGAAAACTAGAATTGTGTTGGCCTTTCAGTGCATCAGCGCAAACATAAGGCTCAGCCTTATTTCCTGGAGTGAGAAACCCGTCTTGCCGTTCACTTCAGGGGACGGGAGCCGACCTCGGTCGGTGTTGCTGTCTGCGCCGAGAAAGGCACATCCAGGGGGGCCAGGAGGAGGTGGGAGGGCTGTTTGGTTTATGTGCTGCACTCGTGCCGGGGACTAAGTTGTGACATTCATCCCCCGGATTTCTGATGGGGCTGCATGTCTTTGCTGTGTCCTGTTGAGAGTCATAGTTGGGACTTGTCCTACTCGTGGTTATTTTGCATCTGTGTTTAAGTTGGCGAGGGGTAGGGAAGAATGAGCGTCTTCTAAAAGCTCTAAAAACTTCTGTAGAAGTTCCTTCTTTCACTGGTGCGTTTTGTTGTTGCTAAATTATGCTGAAAACACACTGGTAAGTATTTGATACTTGAGTTTGTATGACATTCCTGTTGGCTTCACAGGTAAGAGAAGCTGCCCAGGCCTTATTGCTGGCAGAACTGAGAAGAATCGAGCAGGCAGGTCGGAAAGAAACCATTGATGCGTGGGCTCCTTATTTACCACAGTACATTGACAGCGTTATATCACGTGAGTAATGTCAGGTTAAACCTGACAATAACTTGGTTACTAGATAAAAGAAATAAAAGGCATTTTGTACACAAGATTAGTAGCAGTACTACCAATCTAGGGGAAAATTCTGGGGGGATAATCCAATTACATAGAAAAACTTCTTGAAATTTTCGAAGTAATTTCACAATCCTAAAATCGCTTAAGGTCACTCATGTTAATTAATTAAATCGAACTCTTCAGTACATCTCATTGGGATTGGAGTATCTTTTGCGAAGGCTGTCCCTGCTGCTGAGGGGTTAGGCTGCAGTTTGGCGTTTTCAGGGAATAAACCTGCTATGAAAAGGGCTGATAAAATTACAAGGTACTGGTGGTAAAAGACTGATGTTCCTTTTCAAAGAATGTATAATTAGATTATAGAAATTGTTATAAAGGGATCCTTTGGCATCCCAAGAGTATAAAAGGATTCTGAAAGGAGCTAATGCAGGGTTGTGCAGCATACATCCATCAGTCTCTCTTACACATTTGATGCAAGCCTTGCTGGGTCGGGTGTTCAAAGCCATTGGCCACCAACTGCTGCAAGAAGATACTGTGTAAAGATTAGTCTCCAAATAAATTAAATAGCTGCCCACCACGATTTAATTCGCTGTATTTTTCTCCAAAGTACCTATTTTCATTTTATTCATTGTTACTAAAGCAGAGGTTGTGCAGACTCTAATAGAATATTCTTGGAAGATCTATCAGCATCACGAGATGCTCCATTCAATTATCTATCTAGAAACTTGCCTTATAGAATAATGTCCAGATGCATCTACTGTATACAACAAACCAGTAAAAATTTATATTGTCATGAATAAGAATGTTTGCTTTTAACTTGTAGGTGCTCATCTTTCTCAAAATAAGATTCTTTTTCCACTGAAGAATGTCATTTCTATTCAGAGAAAGATCTCTATTAAATACCAATTGATTTTTGAGAAATGTGTAATAATCTTATTAAATCTAAATTGAATGCATAAATTACATGAAACATAGTACTTGAAAGTGATGTCGAGAACGTGTTGGTAAGACTGAGCTGTTGTTAATTAACGGCGTTCAGCCATGTAGCATTTGCCTTATTACAGGGATGTTGTTGCACTGTTAGATGTGCAGCCAGGCAGGGAATAATAAGTGAAAGTATGTTGTATATCCGTGTCAAAGAGCCTTGATTCATACTGATGGGTATTTGTACCATTTTGTGTATTAGGGTATATTTTTTTAATTGATCTTCTTCTGTGGTCAGTTATACTCAGTTTGTAGAATACAGCTATAGTTGCCCTTTACTCCAGGAGTAGCTGCTATAGCAACTGTTGATGATCACTAATTTATTTTCTCTGGAGTGATACTGGATGATCTTGTTAGGGGGTGAGGTTAGTGATGTAATTGTGTTGGTGAAGTGTATATAGACCACTCTGTGGTGCCTGCTTTAGCCAGTTGACTGTTTCCAATCAGGGAACTTCTTTTTAATATACTTGAAAACAACCAGTAATTCGTATTAGTTTCAATAATTTGCTATTTCTTGTACTCCTCATTTCTTAAACAATTACATTTGAAAGTTTGAGAGAAGAGCATGCAGTTCTGTTTTACATGTGTGTTAGTTGGAAGCATAATATTTTGTTCTGCCTCTTGTGCGTATGTTTGTGCTGAGGTCAGAAGCATGGCATGCGTTTTTATAGGAAGAGCCTGGGACCGGCTGGTTTAAGAAAAAACTTCAGTATGTTGTATACATTCAATTCAAGTATGTATACAGCAGTATTTTGGCCTCTGTTAGTCATTAGCAAATCAAAGCATATCATTTGTTTTAACACTAATTTAGGATGTGCTTATCTATCAGAACAAGAAAGTTTTAAAACGCAGGGAGAAAATATAAAATAGAGAAATCAGCTGAGTGTGGCTGAATGAATGACTTGAATGTAAATGTTCAATATTGAGGCAGTGCTGATAGTGAAGACCTTTCAAACAGGTCATCACTAGCAAATTGGAATTAGTTTTCAACAATGTTAATATAAAAAAAAATTCTGTGGTTCTGAATGAAAAGGCTGAGAAGGCATTTAATAGTTTTATTGTCTGTAGGAATGTACACAAAGATGCTGACGCTCTGAAGAGGAAGAACAATTAGGATATCAGAAAGGAGAAACAAAACAAAGAGCTACAAATGTTGCTGTTGTGGCTAAAGATTAAAGTGTATATATTAGTTACATTGTAAGACATAATTTAAAAGTGACATGTTTTTTTTAAAGGTCTGGGGAGGAATTGAAGGGGATAAGAATTATTTAGGATGGCCAAAATGGATGCAACAGACTTTTGAAAAGTACAGTTTTATGCTAGAAAGGTAAGGAGAAGAAATAGGAAAGATAAAGAAATATTGCTTTGATTCCTTCACTTCTCCCAGTTTTGCCCCTAGATATAGGGGCATAAATTGTTATCAGCATATTTTTGTGTCTAGCCTATGTTATTCCTCTGCCATAGTTCTTATATGCGTGATGTAGAAACAGTGCTTTTCTTGCACGTTAACAGGTTTCTTTTCATTAAAACAAGTGGTAATCGCTAATAGAAGCTTGCTGCTGATATGTGATACTTCGTCATACGCATTTAATTGGCTCTTGAATGAATCAAGTGTGTAGTGCTAGCAAACAGAGATGAAATCTTTTCCCTGTGTGCATATTTGGTGATCAGGTCCAATAGCCGTTTTGGGACATGACCTTGCTCGTACAGCTCAAGCAACTGGCCTGTCTCCCGGCATTTGGATCAAATGTGTTCAGGAGACTTGAAAGACAGGCAAACTTGCACAGGGTTATCTTCTCCTAATCTTTTAACTGATACCAGAGAGATTATTGTCCCCCTGTAGACGGTGGGGTGGAGGAGCAGGGCGAAAGCCAAGGGGACCTGACTTTCTGTTTTGGGGCTGTGCCAGCACACGGCCAGCGTGCTCGGCGGGGACCCCCTCAGCTGGGCCCGTTGTGCTGGCACTGCTCCCGGCAGCTCGCTCACAGCTGCCCACACGGCTTCTGCTTCGCACGATTTGCAGTTCAGATGTTCGGACGCATTAGGCTTCGTTTCACAGCGCCTTGTAGGGGCAACAATAAATCTTTGTTTTATTTGGGCCTTCAAATCCAAAATTGGCATGTCAGCTTGTTGACCCCACATCAAATGGGGATAGATGTATAAGTGACAGTATGAATTAAACCTTTGAGAGATGTTGCAGGTGTTGGTATTTTTCAGGCTCCCACAGGGAAGAAAACAGTTAAGCTTTCAAAGCTGCATCTTGTATCTACTAAGATTATGTTATGTGACTGTAAACATTTGCCGTGGCCTTGTCTGCTCCTCATTTGCACAGCATACAATTTTTTCTGAAATGCTGCATGGCCCGTGGGGCATTTGCCAAGGTGGAGTTCAAAAAGGGGAAAATGCTACTGCCTTTTTCTACCTGCTTATTTTTAAGAGCAAGGGCTGTCTTCAGTGTCAAATGCAAATTAAATTCTCTTTTTAAAGGGATTTCTTTGCTGAATTATTATGTTTCGTTTTTGTTTCTTTTATTTATTTTACCATGGTGAGCATAAAGGTTTTCTTCAAATGGTGAAGGCATCTGTTTGGGGCTCTGTGCAGTGGGACGTTCTTGGTGGTGGGTCTGCCCGCCAAGCCCTGGAGGGACAGGTATACTTTTTAAATATGTGATGTTACTGCAGATAGAAAAATGGCTCCTATGGCTTTAATGGAAAGCAAAAGGTTATCTTGCCCTGGCCTTTGTGTGCATGTGGGATGCGGATGGAGCCGGCAGACAGGCAGCGCGCGTGGGGCGGCTGGGAGCTGCCCAGCATCGATCGGAGCGGTGTGGAGTGAATTAATGCGAGGCAGGCAGGCTGGCTGTCACGGGCTGCCGGGATGCGGGCAGTGCTGCTCAGTCTCTGCAGAAATCTGTTCTCAGTGCTTGCTGCCCAGAAATTAAGCATAGACACTTCTCTTGCTTCCCATATTGCTAAAACCCAGTTCATTCAGGTAAATGTTTGTATTAAATTACTGTGTCTTTTTAAGTGGAAAATCTTAAATGTGGCAGCACAGAATTAAAGAAATTTAAATAGATAAATTGTGTTTCTCCTTAAACTGCTTCAAGTAATAATCCATGCTATCACTGGAAAGCAAAATAAATACAAAAAGTCTATAATAACGAATATGCTGTTGTCAGTTTTGTGAATGTATTTCTGGTAGAATTGTGTTTCTGTTAAAGTTTTATTTAAAGCCAGATTGAGTAAAACTTAATTAAAACTTCTGTCAATTTAAATGGAAGTTTTTATTGAGTAAGGATAGTTTGATTGGACCCCAAAGACTTTGCTATTTATGTATGTGGTTGATGATCTTACTTGTGTAAGGTTTCACTTAAAAGAGCACAAAGAAGTAAGGCAAATAATTTTGTGCTGCAACATCTTAATGTATTAAATGAATAATGACTTTCGGATGCTGCAGTAAATAGTAAATTGTAATAATGGCATAAGTTTCTAATACAAGTATATCTTACTTAATTTTCCAATAGTTTCTAATATGTCAGCTGGCATATTTCGAATACATTCAAGGCTGTATGGTCTTTTCACTTCAAAAACATGTTTCTAAGACATTTTTGGGGAATTATGTAGAAAACGCTCGTGTCCAGGAATACATGTTCCTTCTTACCGGATTTTCACTGAGAGATAATTTACTGTATGACATACATGCATGATGGCTTTTTTTTTTCCCCTTTTGGCTTTATCCACTCAAGTTTTTTTGGGGAATGTTTAATCATTCTGATTAAATAGATTTTTACTTATATTTTTATTTTAATAGTATAAAATTGTAAAACACTCTCCTGATTTTTTTTTTGATACACCATACTTAGAATAGACTTATGCAAAGGCACTGATTTCCTTCTGTTGCGTTATAACTAGTCTCACTAAGCTCTTTAGAAAGGTGTAGCACATCTAATATAGAAAAATCAGCCTCTTTTCAGCAATTTGGGGCTAGAAAGTTTTTGGGAAAGAGGTGAGGTAATAACTAAATAAATCAAAGACTTTGAATTTTGGCCCAGCCTAAACCTACTGTTTAGGGACTGCTAGACCCTTGGCTTTTACCCACTTGGGTGTTCAACCACAGAAAATGCTCCCTCTGAGATGAAAGCTCATCGGTCAGAGCATTCATACTACAGCTTTCAAAAGGCATGCAAACCTTCCCCCTTCTCTGGGCATGGAAAGAAATCAAAGCATTTCAGACTATAGAAGTGATGTTTAGCGAACAGCTAGATGCTTGCCATGCCTGCAGAGAATTAGCAGCTGCTTGTACTGACTGCAATGCAAAATGTAAAGCAGTGCTTGAAAAATAACCTTCCCTCTCCTTCTCAACACTCTGGCCGACTGCGTTGGCTGTACACGAATAATCAGTAGTGTTAGAAAAGAGTTGGTGCAGGAAGGCGAAGACCAAAACGTATTTTCACGAAGTGGTACTGGAATCCTGGTGTCTGTGTGGATACTGGTGAAGACCCTACGGAGAGGTGCCTACGGGCTGCAGCAGCTGCACCGTAACGGTGAATTCCTGATTTTTAAAAGTGTCCTGAATAGAGTTCGTGTGCAATTTGTAATTGCATGCCATCTCTGTGCAGTCATGCCAGCATGCTTAATGAAGTGATAGGCTATTGATTTGGCAGTGTGTTCCAGTCTGGCTGTGTATTTGTTGTCACTGGTTTTTTTAGATGTGTTGACACAATGGGAAGGATGTTCAGAAAGTTATTAAAAGGTACTAGTTTCTTTATAAAGCGGTTATGTCAAAATAAGGTTAGAAATTGCTGTCCGACAAAATCACTGTTATCACAAGGTATAAGTAATTACTTTGCTGTGAATCCTTAGTATTTAAAAACAGTACTAAAAAGGAGTATTATCTGGAATAGTCATGAGAATGTTAAGCATTCCGAACTGGTTTAAAGACAACCCAGAGTTAAATGGCTTTCAGGCGTGGATTCACAAACCTTGTTGTACACAGCTGACAGGGATTCCCCTCCTTGTGATTTATTATGATATCGTGCTCTTTTAGTTTATCAATCACATTCACATGTTTGGAGAAGACTAGCAAGTTACTACATGAAAATTACTGAGACCTGAAGTAACACAGGTTAATGATTTCATAAGATGTCTGAAAAGGGAGGAGGAGCAGCCGCAGGTAGAACAGGCAGTGCCAAGCCATTGCTGGTGCTGTCTGCCTGCCACAAGGCAGGGTCATTCAGAGACTTAACTTCTTGTTGAGATTTGGTTGGTGCTGACAAAGGGCTGTGGCCCTTTTCTTAATGGGGACTTAATGCCCTTGTGGATTGCAAAGCCCATGCTCCAATCAGTAAAGCAGCGATCTCTTCATAGAATAAGATTCTTGATAGTACAGGCTGACGTAGAGGGTGTATTGGGAGGAAGCAAATCTTAGCAGGGTGTCCCTTCAGTCCGCTTTTTTTTTTTTAATAGAGTTACGTTGCATGGTTCAGAATACCAAAAGATAATTACTTTTTTTTTTTATTCCTGATCTAAGGATGCTATCTACCAAAGTCACTGACTTTTGTGGGTGCTTGGTTCTTTCTTTCAGCTGGGGTAACCACGGAAGCCATTCAAACTGGTAGTGCAAGCCCAGATTCATTGGGAACAGAAGCAAAAGTTCAGGAAGAAGAGCATGATCTGGTTGATGATGACATCACGGCAGGTGAGCATTAATATAATGAATATGCTCTTGAATAAAGACCTTATGTGATTCTTCATAGTTATCCCTTAAATTATTTGCCTTAATGAAAGATCTGATCTAAGGGTGCTACCATCAGTCTGCGTGATTGAGTTGAGGGTTTGGTTTTTTGTGTGTGGGCTGGTTTGGTTTTTTTTTCCAATGAGTAAGCACTGCTAGTTTGTTGCCCATAGGATTCAAGTGTGTTTCATTTCTACAGTACTCATACAGCTTTTTACTGTTGCTCTAGTTTATTGTAGACTGGCAGGTAAAGTCAAGAGTTCTGGTCCATCAAGGCATATTCTGAAATGACAGACCATATGAAAATATGCATTTAATTATAAACAATTATCTTTTGATTCTTTTTTCATGCTTATTTATGCAGCGTCATAAGGAAAATATCTATATGCTCAGTATCCATATCCTTGGAATTCGAATGATTACAGTATGTATTTTAGCATATCATACTGCAGATTGTAGAACGTGTATCTCAGTTCCTTTTTTTTGGCTAAGCTTCGTATAGATTTTTGTGAAAGTCTAAAAGAAAACTGGTTATTCCTATTGACCTGAAGACGGCTAGTATGACAGATGTAGTTTTGGGTCAAGTCTCTGGTTGAAGGTGCCTGAGACAGGATTACTGCTGGTGGAAGAACAGCCTGTCTGGAGTAGGGAGCATTAACACCGGTTGGGGGTAAAGGGCTAATTGGAAATAGCCAAGAGGGAGCCAGGATGCTGGCATGCCTTTAGCAGCTAGGGGACGATGCGGGACTTGACAGGAAACAGTAATGACGAATAGAGGATGGACCCTTGGAAAAAATAAAAATAAATGAGTGAATAGGCTCGGCATACCCTGAAACACAGATTTCCCCAGCATATATGTCAGGGCAGTGTTTCCTTTGGAAGCATATACCATCTCCTTGGCTCCTCATCTCTTAGAGACCTTCTGGTGCTTTTTGTAGAAGCTTTAGCAATAGCAGTATTATAAAGAAGTGTGTGTTGTATCTGGAATGGTTTTCTGCCCCTTCCATGCCATGTGTTCTTTTCACAGGAAAGGTTGAAGATGGGGCACTTTAATGGAGTACGTTCCAAATTACGTGCCTGTTTTGGCTATGTGCTAGACTGAGTTTTGGGGTTTTCAGAATGCTATCTGCTATATTGCTACAGTCTGATGGTAGTAACAATTTTATTTACAGAGAAAGTGTTTGTTATTAAAAGCAGTTGAACTTTAAAAAAGTATCCTGAGTAAAGATAAAATTTTGGTCTACAGTTGAATACAATTAGTTCTTGTGTTAGTAGAATAGGAAAAGAAAAGAGAGTTTTGAGACAATTTAAACTTAGGAAAATATGATGCAGCTTCTTTCTCTAGTGGTCCTATTAAGGCTAATATTTATTGTAATGTGTTGTAAACAAAGTAATGCTGGTGTGCAGTGGTCAACAGGGTTCTTTTCAGTTCAAATTGAGATTCACCAAAGGCTTTCATTGATCGAAATAATTTTTTAAAAGGATCAGTTTCACATCAGAACTTTTAGAGATTAAAGCGTTTTGGCTTAGCTGGCTGAAAAGCGCTGAAGCCTGTTTCTGGAAGATACTTCAGTAATACACTACAGTGCCTCTTAAGCATTTAAAAACACAAACACAGGAGTTATTAGAAAGTTGAGTCTATCTTCAAATGCACTGAAAAATACATGCACAAATAATCTTCTGATGTGGTAGTGGTATGTGTTGCTATCTTTAATGCCTGAAAGGCTTTTCTGGATAACTGAAAGTAGAGCAAATGTTTTTTTAAAGAATTCACGTGTGGTCAACAGCATTTTTTTCCTAGTTAGGCATAAAATCTACTGGCTTCGATGACCAAAATTTTGCGATTCATCATGGTAAATTCACCTTTTCAAAATTTATTTTTAAATTTTTTTAAATTTTGTAATTTGTAATCTATTTGATTTTCAGTGTCATTTTAGGCTCCAAGATAACATCTCAGTTTTAATTTAGAAATGCAAATACATTTTTCCAGTAAGGAAGGGCAAAATTCTTTAAGAGAAAAAAAAATACACAACATAGTACTGTTACATATTTGGAAATACTGATATTTGTCTTTATGTTTTAGCAGAGGTGCAGCAGCATCTATAGGGCTAGTAAAACAAGGACATGGCTGAGCGCCTAACAGGGGTAAAGGGCCAAATGTCACCGATGGTGTGACAAAGGCAGGACTGTGGTGCATCGCTACCTTTGACAGATCCAGTTACTTACAAAGAAAATGATATCATAGCGTAAATAGGTTGTCTTTAGAAATCCCCTGAATTTAGCGTGTGGAGCCGTTTTGGAAATGAAGAACTTCAAGGAAGTAACTTTGAGGTTGCAGAGTGTTTGCCTCTGAGCTATGCAACATTACCTTAGTAATGCAAATAACTAGCATATCGGGGCATAACATGATATATGTTCTGAATACTGTGTGGATTGTACTTACACCTAATTGACAGAAACTTCTAGCAAGTTTAGAATTAATTTAGTTCTGATTAATTCCCAGGGTAACTGTAGATGTTTCCAGACTTAGGCAGATCTCCTGCTGCTGGCATTCAGCATTGCTTGTGGTTGTAATAGGAATGCCATGTTTTGGTTAAGACTTTGCTGCTGATGGTGCCGCGTACAACGAAAGATGACTCTTGCCATGAAGAGCTTATTCCAATCTCTGTTCTTCTAACTCTAGATAATACCGCCAACCTCTTCAGCATTGAAAAACGTGGAATTTTTTCCACGGCAATCACTTTTTGTAATGATAACCTTAGTCATGCTGGTATTGACAATGACACTTGCAAAGCACAAACCTATTCCTGGTTCTAATTAAAAACTAATTTTTTAAACATTTTTCCCCCTTGCATGAACTGAATGGCATGTACAGCCACCTCAGCTGCAAAGACTATAGAAATATAGACTGCCTCAGTTTTGTAGATAAAAGGCTTTCAAAAATAGACCTCTGTGTTGAAAGTTGTTAGGTCTGTGCCTGGACCACTTCATGGAGCTGTGCTTCACCTGGCAGCGAGCTCAGCCAAACTGCTGCTGCGGTGCTTCGGTGGAAGAGAAGGTGCACGCTGGAATTAATTTGCACCTTTCTCTCGCCTTTGTTTGAAGGAGTGGCGCCACGCATGTGTGTGCAAGATGGAAGCGAGTGCAAGCCCAGAGAGTTCTGCTAGAGGTTTTGTTCTAATTCGGGGAGATTCAGAGGAGTTTTATGTAAGACTCGTGGCTCTTGGGGAGAGGGGGTTAGATGTCCTTGGAATGTCGTTCCGACCTTAGCGAACAGATCTTGTGCCCCTTCACTGATTTGAATACAAAATCTGTTGTCCCCTATTAAACAGTAAACAGCTTATTGTTTTTCTACGCTTTGTTTTTCATAGCTATATGAAAATAAAATGTCCAAGGGTGGGAAATGGAAGGCACAGGCTGCTGTGCCCACGCTTTTGCCTGCTCCTCAGAGGTGACACTGCCCTGAGGAACAGAGAGGTAGCACTGACAACTCGCTTCAGCTGCCTTGCTCGTGAAATGATAACGCTCCCAACAGGTGGCCTGGCAGGTTAACAAAGTTAAGTACACTCTTATTGGACCAGTTATTCTGGTTTGCTATTTCCATAGATAGAAACAGTAACAGATACATTTTCATTCAATTCTACTTGAGCCAAGATAAACATTTTTCATTTTAGAAAACACTGTGATATAGCATAGTCAGTTGCTGCATCAGGATAGTGGGGAACTGAATTGAGATGCAATTTATTCCTAAGGATCTGTCATTCCAAAAAGCTGGGAGACAGGCGATGTGGACTGCTTTAGCTACAGAGATAAGGCTTACTGTTTGGTCCAGTCCATTGTCGCCTGCATGCTGCTGTCATACGTTACTGCACAGAACGGGAAGAAAAAATGGTCAGCCTTCTCCTTGTCCCTTGATGATCCCTTGCACACAGGGAGAAAGACCTGTTTGAAAATGTCTTGTAACAGGTTAAGGTAGTACACAGATGCTTTACAAAATACTCTTTGTTTAGCTGTGTAACCAAAATGAATCTCAGCCAAGCACGTGCTAACGTATGATTCGTACATTGTACAGACACAATTATTTTTGATACGAGAGTTCCAGTGGTTATAGTAGTACTTGTACAAAAGTTTATATGGAAAATAAAATCTGGGAATGCTACTGATAAGTGTTTGTCAACTTGAAAATTTACTCTTTTAAACCTCTTCTTTCTTTCAGTATTCACAAATCTATTTTTGTGCATAATGAGTAGTATTTTTTCAGCAATAACTATCCTTTAACTGGCAAAGTCAGAAGCAAGAAATATTGCTAGATTAACCCATACTCTAAACTTAAAAACAGCTCTTTAATCAGTGACAATATTTGTCTGTGTTTAAAGATTCAACAGGGATTGTGTTTCTTGTGATTTGTCTTGAATCTTACCACACCATCACTGCTGTTGAAGTGCAGCAGGACGTGGAATGAATTTGCAAACATTTTTAACTTCCAGCATTTTCTCATATTTTGAGCACTTCTTGTTTTACCTGCACTGTCTAGACTTTCTGATTTTGGTAGCATTTAACTATTTGAAGTAGTTTTAAATTAGCTGCTAAGTGATTATTCTTCTCTGTGTGTTATTACAATTTTTTACTCAAAGGCTTATGCTGTAACAGAAGAAAATACGTCAACAAACTGCGAACTGAAAGTTGTGGACAGTCATCTCAAGTTATATACTATGCTTTTTTTTTTCTCTGTTTAAATTTTTAATAGTGTATTGAGCTTCTGGACTACTTTGGTGGTTTCTTTTCATTCTCTTTCTTACTGCTGGAGCTGGACTTCTTTGAAGCGGGAGCGGCAGGTGCCATTGCCCATTGCATCCCTCCTGTTACCAGCCAGATTTCCACTGAAAATTTAGGGTGGGGTGGAGTGGAGGTGCACAACAAATGAAACCATCTGCCATCCCCAGCAAACAAGCCAGTGGCCCACT